ATCTTGTGAGAGCGGGGTTCGTTACCCTTTCCATTTGTTCTAGTCCTGGCAAGGACATCGTTTGTCGTGAGTTTTATTTTTCATTTGGGAGTTATGCGCATTCGTGGGTGGACGGACTTGTGTGTGGTTTGTTATGTTGTTGAGTTCATCGATAAATGTTTGGTTGATTCGGTCGACTCACTCCCACGGAGGGAGATAAAGTCATCGGTTTTTAGTAGTGCTTGTTTTGAGAGTAGTTTTGACGGCACGAGTTGCCGAATAGGGATTGTGTTTTAGGGAGATAAAGTTATCGTCCAGGCACGTCTTCGATGGTGGTCACTGCAGAGGCGGCGCCGACACCACCACAATCTTCGTTCCTAAGCGAAAATGATCCGATAAGAGGCTGTGGATTTGGTGGTGGGATTAAGACAATGACTGTTGGTTTGGTGGGGGATTTGTTCAGTTGTTGGCTTTTCTGTGATGGTGGTGGTTGTTTGGGACTAATATGTACAGAAGTTAAGATGGGTGATATACTAAGGGCAAAAATGTCATTTAAAAGTTTGATATTTTATAGTTTAAATTAATTAAAATTATTGAAGGTCAATATTGACTTTTCACAATTTTAAGGGCTTGACCAATAGGCCTGTGGCCTAGCGGTACAAGACTCCTACCTCCCAAAGGGAGGTCAGGAGTTCGAACCTCAGTGGAGGCAGTGTGTATGAGTTTCCCAACTAGGAAAAAAAAAAAATTAAACAAAAAATAAATAAAATTTAAGGGCTTGTGTTGGATTCATTTTTTGACAAGGGGTATATTTGTACAAAAAAGACTTAACATGTATATGACTGTCCTTATGGCAAACCTTAAGGAGGTGTTAGTGTATTTTACCCAAAAATTTATTACATTTAAAAGGAGGGTACATACGGTCTCAAGGAAGGTTACTATAATAAACTTCAAACGTTATACCTGAACAAGATTTGCCCAAACCCCAAAGAAATTCACCATAATTTATCATAAAAAAAATATATTTAAAATTGATCTTTTATTAAAAAAATTCAAACAAAAGGGATAATTATTTATTCACTTTATTTGTTCCTCCCTTTCTGATAAACCATTTCTCTCTTCAATTATATTTGTTTTTTCATTCATTATCCATTCATTTCATACGAGTAAAAAATAAAAATAAAAATAAAAATGATACCAACATTTCTAATTAAAAAAAATATTCTGCGGAACATACCTTAGCCCAGAGCTGGCTCGAGCCTTAGGCGACTTAGGCGGTCGTTTAAGGCCCCAGCCAATAAGAAGGCTCCAAAATTTTAAAATTTCTTTATATTAAGTTATACAACTTATACTATAATTATTTCTTAATATGGTTAAACTCTAATAAATATAAAAAATTTATATTAGGCCTTAAAGATTTATATCCTAAAATAATTTATTATTATTATTATTATTATTATTTTGTCAATCCCACTCGTTTCAATTTTATATTAGGCCCTCAAATATTTATATCCTATAATAACTTTTTTTTTTTTTTTTTTTTTTCTCTTCTCATTCCGATTTTATAGTAGGCCTCAAAGATTTATATCCTTATATGACTTTTTTTTCCCTCACTTTTTCTATTCTCATTTACAATAACACTAAAAACATTTTTGAGTAAGTTACACCAACACTAAAATATTAAATATCTATTTAATGTTGTTGTTTGGAAAAATGGAAAAAACTTTCCAATTTTTTTTTTTTTTTTTTACATTTTATCTTCTTCTTTTCAGCAAGTCTTGTCCTCCCCATCTCATTACAAGTTTACAGTTGTTATGAATGCATTTTTATTCTATTTAAAAATTTGTAGAAGTATTAAATTTAGGTTTTCTAAATCAGGTTCAATGGTTCTTTTTCTTTCATTATTTTTTAATTTTATTAATTTTTGTTATTATAAATTTGTGTGTATATTAGTATATATATTTGTATATTTTGTTTTTGAGTTATGAATAATTTTATTTATATTTTTGACCTAAGACCTCAAATTAGATTAACCCACCTCTCTATTGTATCTTTCTATATTGGTGGAGCTTCTGTAACTATCATACTAAGTCTAGGTCTTCTAATAATTTCAGGGGCCTCAGTCTTATCAATATGTGCGTATTCTTAACAATGCAAATTATGAAGAGGGAGAATATGGACTAAGTAACATCCATAAAGCATAAGGTGACTGAAAATTACAAGTGGATATGTTTGTAATTACACAACTCTTTATTGTATCTTTCTATATTGGTAGGGTTTCTGTAACCATCTTATTAAGTCTAGGTCTTCTAATAATTTCACATATCTGTAACTATCACACTAAGTCTAGGTCTTCTAATAATTTAACGCAAGTCTTAGTCGTATCAATATGCGTGCAGGAGCGGCTGGACCTTAGGTGATTTAGGAAACCTAATGCCTCAGCCAATAAGAAGGCCTCAAATTTTTTTTTTTTTAATTTCTTTATATTATATTCTTCCTAAAATTTTTATTTCCTTCTTATTATCACTTCAGGCAATATAAATGCCCCAAAATTTGTATTTCCTTATATTATAACTTTCAATTTTTTTATTTGTTTATATTATAACCTTCCTAAAAATGTTATTTCCTTCTTATTATTAAACTCTATCCAATAGAAAGGCTCCAAAATTTTTTTTTTTTTTTCGTATATTATAACCTCCTTAAATTTTTTATTTGTATTGATTATTACCCTAACCAATATAGATTTAATAAGGGCCAAAAGATTTCCATCTTTATCTTAACTATTTTTTTTCTCTCTCTTTCTCAGCTCATTCACAATTTTTTCTTTTCCTTCTTCTTTTTTTTTTTTCCTCTCTCTCTCTCTCTCTCTCTAGATTTTGTAAAACTTTCCATATTCTTATTTTAACTTTTATCTCTTTGTGGCTTTTTTTTTTTTTTTTCTAACATATTTTTCCTCATTTTTCATTAAGTATAAGTTGTATTACTCTAAGATCAATTATGTAACAAAAAAATTAATTGGATTGACTATATATATATTAGATATTAAAGGCCACTTTTATATTTTTCGCTTAAGACCTCAAATTATATTGAGCCGCCCTTACCTTAGCCGTGGCAACATACATCCCATGGTTGGCATGTGAAAGGCCTATATACCATAACTCATCAAACATGTGTTGTGTTAGGTTTGTATGCATGCATGGACCGGGACGCGGGAATGAATACATTTGGTCCCCTTTTGAATGTGATTTTTTATTGAAAATGACGGAGTGAAACGTATAAAACCAAACAAGGAAAAAGATTCTAATTCCACTTGTTGATGAAAATGTTATGTTGTTGACAAAGATGCAATGAATTCTTGGTTTTCCAATTTCTTTTCCTCTTTACTGTGCATTTCAAAATATAAATGTGACAGTTGCCAATTTTATTTATGGTAGGAAAGCTATGGAGATCAAATTGGAACACGAATGTGAAGTCTGGATGAGCTTTGATTATTTATTTTTATCTTGACAAATTAAGAAGGGAGGAGACTCGAAAGCAAGCACAATAACTAGAAGAACTGAGTATATTACCAATAAACCTCCTCGATCAATCTAATTTAAAGGTAACCAAAAAAACAGTCATTATTATATTTTTGAGAAACTAACGTGTTCAATCTTGTATAATTTATAATTTTACGAATTAAAAAACAATATTTTTAGTAAACTTTCACATAAAATAACTTCTTATTTCATGGGTAAATTCTGACTTTTTTTTATTTTTTTTCGAGAAATAATATGTCTTTCAACCTCAATTGTCGACTCTTCCTCCCAATATAATGTGGTTGGGAATGAGTCGAAGAGAAAGAAATGTTTATAGGATTTTTTTTCTAGAGTTTCAACGTGATCCAACCACGTTATATTTGGAGGAGAAGTCGACAATTGAGATTGGAAAACCTATCATTTCTCTTTTCCTTTTTGTGCATAAAAAAGTGGATTTTGCATTAATTGAGTTGGGCCATATCAGCAGCAGATACGTTTGGACTTGGTTACTGAATCGGGTTTGGGCTTCTCGTCTTGAGTTGAGCCTGAAGATTTAATTGGACCTAAACAAAAAGCATGGACCTCTTTTTGTCACCATAAATCGTAAACCTCCATATCTTCCAAGTTAAAAAAACGAAAGTCTGGAGTTCCTACTTGCTGGTCAACAGCCCAAGCCTTCCCGGTTTATCATCACACAACATTTTAGAGAACTTCATTTACTATTCACCATTCCTTTTTAATGCTACATTCACACTATGTAGTTATAGCCACACTCATTTTGGGGTTAATTGCACAAATTCAATACTGATAAGCAAGCATATATATGTGTGTGTGTGTGTTTTGTTTTTTTTTTTTGTTTTTTAAAGTGAATATATGGTTTAAATATTATGTAATGATGCGGAGTTTTTTTAAGAATAAGTTATACTAACCTCCTTAAGTTTGGACAAATTATATATAAGTAAATAGTTATTACTTTTATTTACGATTTAGCATCTGTTTGAGGGTGGTGGAAAAGTAACTTTTTAGCTTGAAAAGTTAATAATGTGACTAATATCACTATATTATAACTTATTTTATACACAGATAGTGTAAAAGGTTAAGAATGCCGTAAAATCTTATAAAAAGTCGTTAACCAATCTTGTGACCTAGTGGTATATTTTTTATATTCCAAAATAGATGATTAGAGTTGGAATTTCCAAAGAATGACCAAAAAAAAAAAAATCTAACAAAAAGTTAAAATAATAAATGATCCATTATGTATAATTTGTCCAAATTTCATAGGTCAGTATAATTTAACTATTTTTGTGGATTTATAAAACTTTGAAAATTTTACAACAAGAGGGTGGGTTTATATTTAAAAATGTTTTTTTGCACTTCATTTTTATACTTTCAAAATTCACTTATATATATATATATATATATATATTTCAAAAGAAAGGAAAAAAACAAAAGAAAATGAAGCGATGCGATTGTCCATTCATCACACACACTCACTGCATGCTATATATAATCAGAATGTTCCATTTTGCTTCACTGCGCCTGGCCCTACAGTTTCATATATAGATACTGATACATTTATTATACTTTTATGAATTTTAATTTTCACTTTTATTTTTCTTCTTACTTTCAATAATTTTGATATATATCATGGCTGAAATTTTGATTTGTTAGGGTTAGGAGGTTTGGATTCATCCAGAAATCAGGGCGATCAAAGGAAATATTAGGTTTTCCCACCTGTGTTCATTGCCGCCATTTCTTCCTATGCACATACATATAAATTGTATTATACAGATAATGTATCTGTAAAAGTTCGTTTCAGTTTGTGTAACTTGCGTAATGATCAATTAGAGGATCTAATACTTTATCCGAAATCGCATTTTTCTTCAGGCAATTGTGCGTTTTTTGGGGGGTCAATTGTCGGTTTTTAGGGTATTGGGTGATGTTTAATCGGTTTTGATCGTTTAGGAAAGCTTGTTAGTCATTTTCATCAAAGCGATCACATTTAGGGGTTTGATAATTTGAATTTGTGAGGAATGGATAAGAAGAAGGTGTTGGTCCCACTTGTCTGCCATGGCCACTCTCGGCCTGTCGTCGATTTGTTCTACAGCCCGATAACGCCGGACGGATTTTTCCTCATCAGTGCTAGCAAGGGTAAATGTGAATTTCAATAGAGATGTTTAGTTTTTTTGATTCATTATGCCAGAGATTACTGCCAATTTTTGCCTTGTGCATTTCATACTTACGCATTGTTCCTTTATTTCTTTTATCATTATGGACACTCCTTGGTTTAGTATGGAATGGGAAATTATCCTAATTGTTTGTGTTTGGAGTGAGTATGTGAATCTTGAAAAAATGATTCAGATGATGGCATTTTAAAATTTGAGTTAAGTTTTATTTTACATTTTTTTTTAGAATACTTTGATGGCACAAGATTAGGATCCACTGTTGGATAAGTGCACATTTGTATTTATAATAGAAGTCTCACATTTTCAGAACTATGACATAAGATTAGGATCCATAGTTGGATAAGTGCCATTTATATTAATACAGGGCTTGATTTGATATGAGTTTAAGTCACTTGATTGAAGTATGATGAAATTATCAATGAAGCTGACTTATGATGAAACTGGTCTACTAAATGGGGCCGATTAGATGATGCATTTGGTCAGATTTAAGTGATGGCAATATGTTATTAGACAAACACAGGTATATGAAGTTAAGACTAGTGCTGAAACATAAAATCAGTGTGCATAAAGAGCACAAGTTGTTGTGCCAAACATAAGTTTATACTACTCTGTTCCTACAAAGTCTTTGCCTATTGAACATGAGTCATGGACTCTTTACTTTTCGTCATGCACTTCTGTGAACACAATCAAAACAAGGGTACTGGTGGACTTTAGAATTTAAAAACACTGGATTGGGAGGTCCATCCCCACACTTGATCCTCCTCATACATGAGTCCATGTAACATTGGTCCTTGCCACTTGTCAAGGAAGAGTTTTATAGTTAACATGAATTACAATTCAACTTTTTTTTTTTTTTTTTAAATTTAGTTAGGTCAACCTTGTAGTTATGATAGATAAAATAAAATTTTGATTGTTTTGAAATCCTAAAAATGAAAACCATTGGAGGGAAAGAGATGAAAGATTTTTCCTGCTTCCTGCTAGACCTTGACATGGGACTTGAGAGTTAAGATCCATAGACACCAAGACAAATTATTTGAGATAAGGAATAATGATTTGGACGTAAGGAGTTTGGACTTTGGCGAAAAAAATTATCTGAGGTTTAAAGTAGAGCTAAAAGTTTCCTTGAAGTTGGTAGTGAATGGTAAGCTAGATATGCATCATTATATGCGACCTCTTCCAAGGGTTTTTGGTATTTAATGAAGCCTGTGTTATTATTAGAAGCTATCACCAGAACCTCTTCCAAGGGTTCTTGAAGTTGGTTCTGGTGATGAATGTGTCTTATCACTGAAAATCCTCATTATACTCATTTTCTCTATCATGTATAATTTAGATTCGAATCCGATGCTAAGAAATGGTGAGACTGGAGACTGGATTGGAACGTTTGAAGGTCATAAGGGTGCAGTGTGGAGTTGCTGCCTCGATACTAATGCTTTACGTGCTGCATCTGGGTCTGCTGATTTTACTGCGTATGTGACCAGGCTTCTTCTTTTTACACAAATGTTTAATGCAACAGTTCTATGTATTTTATGGTCAAGTGTATGCCTATTAAAAATGTTGAAAAATTATGTTCTTTATGCCACCAAGAAAAATTATGTTCTTTATGCCACCTTGAATAACAGGTGATGCCCATAGCATAGCTTTCACATATATTTCTTTATAAGGATATGTTATTAATAGCAGTCTTCCTGAGCTCAAAACTGCCTCTTCTCAAGCCTTGATTACTTGTATACATAAATCTTTTAGATTTAATTTTATGACTTGTTCATATTTGTTTGCAGGAAATTATGGGATGCATTGACTGGGGATGAACTGCATTCTTTCGAACACAAACACATTGTTCGGGCATGTGCCTTCTCAGAGGTAGAATTGATATCTTTAATCAACCATGTTCAGGCCTTTGAGTGGAATTTCAAATTTCCTTTATGCCTATTTTTATGTCCTAAATAATTTCTTCACTGGCCAAATTTATAAATTTCAATGACTAATCTGTATCTCATTGATCTTTATGGGCACTTGATCTATTAGTTACTGCCGAAAATTGGAAAACATCAAATGGTAGCTCCTTCACAACATAATATTCATGTACTTCTTGTTTGGGACATGTTTTTGCTTTGAATATGGAGTGTTTACATGGAACTATTTTCCTTATTTATATCTAATATCTTAAATGTTTTCATATATTCTTTCTTTGAAGTTGGCTTTAGTTTTTAGTTTTTTATTTTATTTTTAATCATAAATACATTTATTCTTATGTATTTCCTCCCTCCTGTGATAAATCTCTTTCTGATACAAATTGTTCTTCCCTTGGTTGGTTTCTGCAGCCTTTGCTTCATTTATTCTGCAGTTCCTTTTCAAGTTGAAAATTATTGTGATTAATTTTATGACATGGACCTTTATTTTTACTTGGTTTATTCACCTACTCTTTAACTTTGCAATCAATTCTGGATTGCAATTTTTTTATTTTTTTATGAAATAAGTGACATTTGTACACCATTGGTTTTTATTTCTACCGAGGGAAATTATCCATATGCATAGATGTCTTCCCCTTGCATGGTTGATGGATGTAGTTTGAATTGAAATTTATTGATTATTGTACAGGATACACACCTTCTACTCACTGGTGGTTTTGAAAAAAAACTTCGCATTTTTGATTTAAATCAACCTGATTCACCTCCAAAAGAAGTCGATAATTCTCCTGGTTCAGTCAGAACCGTTGCATGGCTCCACAGTGACCAGACCATATTGAGTTCCTGCTCCGATGTTGGGGGCGTGAGGTATGCACAGAATAATCGTGCGAGTGATATTATTATTATGTTGTTCTTTTTTAGATACGTGTTTGTCATATCCTTATTTTGATTGGTTGAGCTAGAGTTTATGGCTTAGAATGTGTTGATTGAATATGAAGCATAAGTTCCTCAAATTGATTGATGTATTGTCCTTGTCTTACAAGAATAAGTACTGAGCATTTAAAGTAACTTGTTATTTTTATCATTTTCCACCCTTTATATTTGGAACAGTATTTATGGCCTAACCCAAGGACATGATAGCTATCGATAAGCTTTTCTGTTTTCACTCTCATTAATTTGTGGGCATGGGCAAAGAACCCCTTGCTATTACTAAAAATTGCTAATTTTTATGCAATTTCCATGTCACAAAAAGTTGGTGTGTATCTGTTATCATAGTCGGATAGCTTTTTAGTTTGTCTTGTGGTTAGAAATGACAAATTATATTAGTCACATGGTGAATGAAATTTTGCAGGAGACTAAGGGAAGAAAATTATCGAAAAGGAAACATGGCAGTGAGATGATGTATACAACAAAAAATAAGCAACAAGAAGATTTAGAGAAATATAATATATTAAAAATTGTCGTCAAGAATACAATATGTAAAGCTAAACAGAATGCATTAAACAATTTATATGCAAAACTAGACCATAAAATATTAATGAAGAATAAAGACATTAGCTAGAGGGAAAAATTACTTTCAACACCTTTTGAATGAGGAATACCCTAGAGAAGAAATGGAACGTAATGAATTTAATATAGGAATGGTAAACGAAATCAACAATAAGGAAGTAGTAGACACACATAAAAAGATGGGAAAGAATAAAACGGATGGACCAGAGAACAAACCTATAAAAGCATTGAGTATGTTAGTAGAAGTTGGAACTGAATGGCTAACAGATTTATTTAACAAAATTATAATGGAGGGAACAATGCCAAATGAGTGGAGGGAAAGCACAATAGTACCCACTCATAAAACAACAGGGATATATGAAATTGCAATTATTATCAAGGAATTAAATTAATGCATCATAAACTGAAATTATTGAAAATGGTGATAGAGCGAAGATTTAGGTAGGAATCCACAATATCTAATAACCAATTTGGATTTATGCCGGGGAGATCCACAATGGATGCCACCTACTTAGTAAGACTGTTAGTTGAAGGGCGTAAAATCTGCACATGGTCTTTATAAACTTAGAAGAAGCATATGACAGGGTGCCGAGAGATATAAGTTGGACCTGACAAAGAAAACAAATTCCTATAGCAATGATAAAGATTGTTCAAGATATATATCTAAATAAAGAAACTAGAGTTCACATAAAATGTAGGGAGAGTGTGAGACTAGCGATTTTTCTATAAGGTGCAATCCTAGGACGCATGGATACAACCATGGAGCATGAATACGACACGGTAAGGACACTGCGATATGGCAAATATAACAAAAAGTAGGATAAAGATATGATAGGGATATATCAAAAAAAATTATTATATAGTAATATATTACTATGCATAAAAATTATAATTTTACCTCATTTTATCCATATAATCATGATTGAAACCACTAATTTGGATCTTAGATTTATATATTTTAAATTACTTTGAATCCCATTCTTCTAAGAAAAATAATTACAAAACCACCTCGTCGTGTCCTGAAAGTGTCCAAAATGTGTCCTTGTCGTGTCTCAGTAACTTGTGTCCATGCAGTGTCCAACTAGAAAATAAAATATACAAATTTTAGGACACTTCCAGTTGTGTGTGATGCATGTCTGAGTGTTTGATTCCACCACGATACCTTAAGGAAAAAGTGTCTCTTCCGAGGAGCAATCTAAGGGTCTGCACTAAGGCAATATTTATTCACAAATCACAATTTGAGGATAAATTGGCCGCACAGCCATAACTATCGTCTTCTCCAAAATCACAAAAGACTTACAAGAAGAAACTCCATGGTGCATGTTATTTGCCGATGACATGGTGTTATATGACACTTCTAAAGAGAATTTAGCAACAAAATGACCAAAAGAAGTGTGATAATATAATTATCGCACTTCAGAACCAAAATATTATTCAAAGTGACCATTTTAGACACTTGGGATCAATAATACAAAAGGATTGTGAGTTAAATTGTGATATAATTAGGAGAATTGGAGCAGGTTGGACAAATTGGTGACAAGCTAGCAAGATTTTATGCGATAAAAGAGTAACAAATTCTCCCTCTGTCCCAAAATTCTTAACAAGCCTGTCATTTGTCATCTTTCTGAGGTACAAAATTAGTTATATCATCTAATGCATTGATTTACAGCAACTTCTTGTTACAGTTTTGTTGCAAGTTTCATCATGCATAGAATTCTGTTTGCTTGACTTCATCTTTTGTTTTAAATCAGAAGTGCATGAACGTCTTGACTCTTGTTACAGTTTGTTGCAAGTTTCATCATGCATAGAAGTCTGTGTGCTTGACTTCGTCTTTTGTTTTGGTTTAAACTTAATTTAAATCAGAAATGCATGAACGTACTCTTGTTATCTGCGTTGGCCGTTTTGTTATTATTAGGTTATTTGCCCTGCTGTGCCTGATATAATTTCAATTCCCTAGGTTATGGGACGTGAGAAGCGGAGCAATTGTCAGAACACTTGAAACCAAATCATTTGTAACCAGCGCTGAAGTGAGTCAGGATGGTCGCTATATAACTACTGCTGATGGGTCTACAGTCAATTTTTGGGATGCAAATCAGTAAGTATGAATTTGGTTGTGCCTAGCAAAAAATCTGCATGAATGGGTAGTAAAATTTCACTTTTTCACGTTTTAGTTTTGGATTAGTGAAGAGCTGCAATATGCCCTGCAATGTGGAATCGGCTTCATTGGAACCAAAGCTGGGTAATAAGTTCATTGCTGGAGGAGAAGACATGTGGATTCATATTTTTGATTTTCATACCGGAGAAGAGATTGGTAAGTGTCTTGAACTAGTAGGAGTATTAAAATTAAAGAAGTTATTTACGCAAAATTGTGATTGGCTAGTGCCTAATTTAAGTATTACCTGCTGCTCAGTATATACTATTAAAGACAACTGTTACCAACAGTCCAATGTCAAAATGATCAAGGTTGGAATCGCATTTTCCAATCTTTCACCATATCTAGGTTCTTGAGAGACCACATTCACTGGTAATCCTAATGTCGCATTAAGGCACAAATGATCACATATTTCGTACGAGGAAGGGAAAAAAAAAAAAAAAAGAAGAAGAAAAGAGAATAAATTACTTGTTTTTTGCTGAAAACTACTCAAGTGGCTTAAAGGTCTGTAAGCCTTAGTGGCAGACTCAATGATAACACTTTTTATTAGCATCTTACTCAATTACATTGTTGCAGGATGCAACAAGGGCCACCATGGTCCCGTCCACTGTGTTCGATTTTCACCTGGAGGCGAATCCTATGCATCGGGATCTGAAGATGGAACCATTAGAATATGGCAAACTGGCTCTTTGAGTCATAATGAGCAAGAAACATCTTCAAATGGGCCAACCGGAAAAGTGAAGGTTGCAGCTGATGAGGCTATTCAAAAGATTGAGGGCTTTCATATTGCCGAAGGTCAGTCTGAAGAGAAGGAAATGGTAGAAAATTGACAAGGAACAACTAAACGTGTTTTTACCCAGCCTGATCTGTGAGTTGAGAGCTTGTGGGTGTGACTCTGGTGGATTATTTTGCTCCAAAATGGTAGCAAACTTCTTTCGGTAATACTTTCTCTTGATCTTTTCTTAGAAAGGGCGTCCAAAGAATTCACACACAGGACAATTACTTGAGAAATCTTGGTTGAGAAAATAGTGTAGAATTTCAAAAATTGCCTGCAGTTTACTAGCTTTTTCAAAAGAGTCACTGAATCAACAGGATTTGAGGTCTCCGTACTAGAACTTAATAACAGGAACATATTTAAGGAACTTCTACAAAGCCTGTTAGGCAGTCACTTGTAATAATATATTTCTATTAGATTTTGTGTTTTTCCCCCTGGCAAGACATCTTCACACTCCAATGGGGGGACTTGTACCGTCACCTCTCACTTTGAGAGGTTGGGGGATATCTTTAGGGTTGCCTTCATTTAAGCCCTAAATCTCACTTGAGGCGAATTGAATAAATTGTATGTGCACGTATTTTTAAAGCAAGCCAGCCTATTAAGAGAGCCTTGAGCCTTCTTGTGACAGGAGTTTTTGAGATGTGTAGAAAGTTAAATGAATATTTTAATAATCAGTCTAACAATTATTTAGGACAACTCATGACTCTTGGTATGAGAGTGATGGTCTATTTTTAAAAAAACAAATGGATTACTAAATTCTATGATATGTAAGTTAGGTTGTGCAAGGCAAGCTTGATTTGAAACTCAAGAACTTCAATTTGAGATATATTATTATTATTATTATTATTTATCGCTATTTTGTCAGGATTGATATAAGAAAAGGGCTTACAAATTAGAATGTTCAAGACTCGTTATGGGGCTTAAAGAGTGAATTATTTTATTTTAGTCCACAGTCCTTTGAAATGCCAACAATTCGAGCCAGGTATCATTCAGACTTGCTTCAGATGATAAACTAGTTAATTGCTCATTCATCTTCGTCAATAAATGGAAATCAATAAATCCTTGGGGAGTTGAAGCTTGAGTTTGATAAACTCATTCGAAGTAGGGTTGATGGTCACTTTCTTGCAATGCAATACGGTATCAATTTGACCCATCCCAGTGAGCCTGAACTCAACCTACTTCTGATGGAATAATTATGGATGCACCTTATAAAAAATTGACCTTGACAAAATACAAGAAGACCACAACCTCAAAACACATTTTTAATACACCAACACTCATCGATGAAGTAGATAGCATGGGACTTGGATGCTCTACATCACTGTGGAAGGTTCTATATTCCATTTAAAAGTAAAAATTATATTTTCGAATGCTGAGGGTGGATTATTGTATGTGAGTTTTACTTAATGGTTCAATCTTCACTATTAATATAAAGAATGTGACTTTGACCCTCTCTAGCCTTCTCCTTCTCAAATGGTGTAGACATTCTTAACTTAGTACGATATATAAAATTTTTATTCAATAATCATTACTTTTCAAACTTGAAATATGTGTACATATCTCACATCTCAGATATATTTACTGTTTGATACTGCTTCTAATAAAAATTCTTTATTTTTCCATCATAAAAAAAATAAATAAAAATAAATAAATAAAAAATTTCCATTCTTAGACGGGGATTTACCAAGCAGACTCAGCGGTCACCAAAACCCCCACATCACACGGATAATTTTGTCATATAAAAGCTCCAATGAGGGTATTTTCGTCATATAGCCACCATATAACTTGCTTCGCCTCTCGTACTCGAATCACTTTTACGAAGTACGGGTCTCTCCCCTCTCTCTACCCCCGCTATTGATTTTTCCGACCGACAGACCGTTGACATCAACCGGCGAAAACCCTAGATTTCCTTTTTTGGCGGGAAAATGTCGGGCAAAGGAGCGAAAGGTCTTATAACGGGCAAGTCCTCCTCTGCCGCAAGCAAGGACAAAGACAAGAAGAAGCCGGTCTCTCGCTCTTCTCGCGCTGGTCTCCAGGTTCTATCTCTAAAGCATATAACAAATATGCTCTCTCTCTCTCTCTCTATATATATATATGTGTATGAATTTCCCATTTTCATAAAAAACTCACGATTTTGCGGATGGGATAGTTAGAATACCTTTTCTTTTAATTGGTTTACTAATTGGTAGCTGTTATATGTGTATGAATTGGTTTACTAATTTTGAATTAAAGCAAAGGTAATAGGCAAAATCATTCCATTAAATAACTTTATGTAATCACAAGTCTTGGACGCTACCAAAACAGGTCACAAAGACAATACAATTATGAACGAAGACAAAAAAATGTAATAAAAAAACCATAAGCAATGTGGTACCAAATGGGTTACTTTTAATTATCTATGTTACTTAAGTAAATCAAACCAATTACACCCAAATCAAAGGATCATGCAGAATCATAATTCTGGAAATTTACATGATTGTGGCCTTTTAAACTGTTTGTGGAAGGAAATGTGAGGCAGTATGGTTAATTTCAGATGGGCAATGGAAACAGTAAAAATGAGGTTATATTTTACCAAGAAAGCAGTGCGACCTCCATAAGTACGGAATAATCAATTGATGATATTGGGAAAATCTCTGATCACAATCATTCACGAGAGAAGATATTATAAAGAGAGAAGAATAGACTTAGCAACCATCATAATAAAGTGGCTTTATGTGTCGAGACCTTGACCGCCATATCACTTAAGTAAGCATGTGAATGTTTAAATAATGTGTACGGGTACATTTGAAGGTTACAGACAATGTAGAAAAAATTAAAGTACCAATGTCAAAGTAAAGAAAATAAAGATTTTAAGACTATAGTGCACCTTACTTGATAATTAATCAAAAGTTATTCATAGAAAGGTAGACAAGTCTACCTATATATCTCTTTCGAGTCTTTCCAACTGTTACTGTGAGGTCAATGAAAGTAGTCACAACTTACAAGGTTTGCTTCATAGTGGTTGCCTCAAAGTTGATTTAATCGAAAGCACAGCTGCATTCAAGTAGTTGCTGACAATACAAGCCTCAGAAGAGTGATGATGTTGATAGTAAATTGTGATTGCCTTCAGTCAGGTTGGATGACTTTGGTACATAGAGCTAGGCTATTCCTTGGCATAATTGTAGGGAGTTGGACAGTCAAATATGAAATGTATTCAAGTTCGGCAGAAATCATTTCATGCTAATAAAGTGGAAGTTTAGGTCCGTACCAACCCACCCCCTATTACCCAATGATGGGTCCTATATTTATAAATGACCTCTTCAGTTCGCTACTGTTAGAGGATTTAAATATTAAAGTTACACCCTCTCTAATAGTTTAAGTTTCTATAGTAGATAATTGTTAACATGATATCAGAGCCGAATGTCTCAAGTTCAAACCTCATTGTCACCCTAATAATTAAAATTAAAAACACGTGTTGCACCAAAAGAAAGCCACATGTAAAGGGGCGTGCTAGAGGATTTAAATATTAAAGCTACACCCTCTCTAATAGCTTAAGCTTTTAGAGTAGATGATTATTAACAACTACATAGTTAGTATGAGTAGACATCACAAGACATTTCCAATTGAGGATGAAAATAATGAATTTTATTTTGACTTACTTCTTGAGCTCTAAGCTTATCTTTATCCGTTGCTATGGTCAACATGGCAATGTTGGGATGATTATTAAGGGCACTATTGCGATTGCCCCATAGCCCACGCCCTTGCCAAGAAGTCAGCATATATTTTTAGGATTCCACTGACTCCATTGTTTGAAATGACCGACATTTCGTCTCTTTAGTTATTTTATTTTATTTTACTTTTGTGCTTGTGTGATTTATGCTTGCAGGGCCCAATTTCTCCTTCATAGGATAGTTTAGGTTGCGTCTTTTGATATATATATGAAAATATATTACTCAAATGTGTCGTAGAGCTGAGCTTTACATCCTTTTCTTGAAATATTGATTCGAAGAAATCAACAAGGAATTCTGTATTCTTTATTCACATCTAAGCTATTAAGCTTCTTATTTAGTTTTTATTTTCCTGGTAAGTTGTGAGTGACTTTTTAATTTTTCTCGTTCATCTCCTAAGCGTTGCTTTCCTCTCTCTTGATCAGTTATGGCCCAGTATTTATTTTTATTCTCTCTCTCTTCTTTTTTTCTCCTCAATTTTTACATTTCCTCTACTACTGAAGCTTGATGTACTTTAAAATACTATATTCCACCTTACCTAAGATTCGTTTACTGAAAATTATTATTATTTTTATGGTAAAATAAGAAAAGAGAGCAATTGGAAATTCTAAATGCCTTACTTATCGAAAGAAAGAAAAAAAGAAAGAGATTCTAAATGCCTCAAGAACTAATTTTGATCTGACCTCAAGGACGAGAATTGATTGATGCATGAATCACTGTATTGTCTTGTCCTAGACTTATATTTTCTATTCATTTTGGCTGGTTCAGTAATATTATTAGAACAATTGTCATTGGCAAGGCAACTAGGGAATCACCATCAATCTTGGAACTTCATGGTGGCTCTCATGGAAGTTGTCGAAAATGTATTATGTTGATGAACTTGCTAATATTCTATTGGAAGTCCACCCACTCATGTTGAGAAATCAATTTCAATGGTAAAAAGAGGAGTGAAATGAAGGTATACTGTTACATCACATAAGAAGTGTTGACATGATGTCTAGAAGGGAGGTGTGGGTTAAGGGTTCAAGTCTTATTGCTAACAATCAAATTTTTGTGCTTGTGTGTATATATAGTTACATGTAAGAAAAGAGAAATGGATTGTTAGCATTATAAGGTTCTTGTAGGAGATTCACTGGAAGAGTTAAAAGGTTGTTGAGGGAAGAGAAAGAAAGCTAAGAAGAACCTAGCTCAAATAAAATCATGAATCCTTGTTTCTTAAAAGTCAGGGTCAGAGACAACCGAACCCTCTAGTTAGTTGAGCATCTCACATCTATGTGGCTTGATTGAAGTTCTTTTTTCCCTGAAATAATACTGACATAACGTATAAGGTTGATTATGCTCTGCAACTTTTGTTTTTTGTCCTTCCTCTAACAACGTTTTTGTTTAGTTAAGGTAATTTTTAATTTTCAGAAATGAAAGCAACATGAATATAAAATTCAACACCATTTTATTTTCTTGTTTTTCTTAAGAGGATTCACCTTTACTTCGTTTATGGGGAGGTTATCTCTGAGAGCGGCGTTGGGTCATGACCTTAAGATCAGAAGTGCTGGTTAACAACTTTACATTTATATGGAATGAAGTTGAAGTAGCCTTTTTTGCCTATAATTTTTTGGTTTATCTGTCTTTAGGAAATACTTTATATATTGTCATTATTCACCTCATGTTATGATAAATTTTCTATTTTAGCTTGACAAATTTTCCAATCACGAGGATGTGTACTAGACAGTGCAACACATTTTCCATCTTCCTGTAAACCAAAGGGATCCTTGCCAGGATTATCTACCGGGTTTATCATCCTTTGGACCAGATGTCCCTAGAACAAGAAGTTGTATTTACACCATATTTTAAATAGCAGCATGAACAGCTAGAGCTGGCTCATTGGCCAAGATGTCTCCAGTGAAAAGAATTGCTATGGAGTGAAAAATGGGCAGTCCAGAATTTCACTAATTTTACATGTCCGAACCGTGAACATAAGAGTGGAGATATCACTCAGAAGACGGGGACTTGTAATACACTCACATTGACATTGTTGAGTAATTAATGGACAGGTTAGGATGGTTATATAATGAGTTGAGGACGTTAGTTGTTTTTGTTTCAAGGAAGAATAGATAGTAGTAGAATGAGAAGCTGTGAGAGCAGAAATAGAAATGGGGTATAGATAATAGTGCAGTTTGAGCATCAAATTCGTTGTTTTGAGATTACTAAATTTGAGTTGTTAGACTAACACGCCAGTGGCCTAGCGGTACCAGGCCCCTACTTCCCAAAGGGAGTTCAGGGGTTCAAGCCTCAGTGGAGGCATGTGTGTGTGAGTACCAACCAAGGAATAAATTTGAGTTGTTAACTACTTCAATACATGTGGAATTTGAGCATAATAATGGAGTTTGAGCATCAAATTCCTTGTTTTGAGATTACTAAATTTGAGTTGTTAGACTAACAGGTCAGTGGCCTAGCGGTACCAGGCCTCTACTTCCCAAAGGAGCTCAGGGTTTCAAGCCTCAGTGGAGGCATGTGTGTGTGAGTACCAACCAAGGAACAACTCACATGTGTGTGTGAGTTGTTGACTACTTTAGTACATGTGGAATTTAGATCTAATTACTATTTTGCCCTGCTTATGAGATCTGAATAGGATATACAACAGTTGACGTATATCAGCTTTAGACACTAAATTTAACTTGACTCGTAATAAGTCTTGCTCCAACTATTTGGTCCCATGCATAAACCCTGTTTTGCCAATTGCTCTATCTTGGGTGATAAACTTCAGTTAAACCATACTCTTATGGCTTTTCTACAATGTAGATTCACATTAATGTTGGTCTTTTCTTACCCAGGCATTAATTTAACATGTCTTCCTTCCTTTAGAAAACTATGGATTTGATAGATTAATTTACCCGGTCACTTTATACTTATCAAAAAAAAAAAAAAAAACTATGGATTTGATAGTTTTAGATCATCCCAAGAGAGAGACAGAGGGGATGGAATATTTATGCTGAAGAAAGCAAACAATAGAGATGTCGAGAATATCTAGGAAAATTTTGCATGGTAGTTTGGTATAGTGCTATTCTATTATGGTCAAATTGGATACATGTTTTCAAAATACTTGGCCAATAAAAACCCATAGTGGCAAGAAGGTCAAGATATTCACCACATGATGTCTAATGAAGAAACCTGGAAATTGAAATATGCAACTAACTTATTTGTCTCGATAACAGTTGTGGTCTTTTATGAGGTCAATTTTACAAGTGAGTGTAGAAAACAGTCTGCAATGTAACGCATGTTTTTAAGGGATTGAAGTCTAGGAATTTTTCTTTTGTGATGTTCTATACTCAAACCAACAGAACATAGTGGTTTGTGTTTCTTGTGAACTGAATGACATAGTAGTCCTGTATTTGAAACCCATTTTGTCTGAAATCCACTGCAGTTCCCCGTGGGTCGAGTTCATCGTATACTGAAAACAAGGGTTTCTGCTAATGGGAGGGTTGGAGCTACTGCTGCTGTTTATACAGCAGCTATATTGGAGTATCTTACTGCAGAAGTGCTGGAGTTGGCAGGGAATGCTAGCAAGGATCTGAAGGTAAAGCGCATAACACCAAGGCATTTGCAGCTTGCAATCCGAGGGGATGAAGAACTTGACACCTTAATCAAAGGAACCATAGCTGGCGGAGGGGTTATCCCTCACATCCACAAGTCACTGATCAACAAATCGTCCAAGGAATAGTTTAGAACTTTTTTTTTTTGGTTAAATGTTGAGAACATGTTTACTTTGGCTTGTTAGGTTGTACTCTTTAAAACATGAAAAGAATGTGCTGGAAACACTGACAAAGTCCAATGTGAGGAAGCTGCTTTTCTCTCCTGCCATCCTGTCATTCATGCTCATTTTCGGAAATGCCTTCAGCAGAAAATTGTTGAGTTCTACATTGTAGTTTTGAAGAATCCAATTCTTCAATATCTGTTACTTTTAGCTGTGCAATTCTTCAATATCTTTGATTTTTATGTGAATAAAATGAATCTAACCTATGCACATTATATACATGAGTAGATGCAGTAAACTCATTTGGAACCAAAATTTTCAACTCCAAAGAGAGCCAAATAGTTGCCCTTGTTGGATGTTCTATGTTCATTCCCCACCTCGGAGGCTCGCGAAGCTTTTAGTTATTGTTTCAGCAAATGGGACATTCTTTTTATAATTAACAAACATTGGAGGTTATGTTGAACTTTTTCATAAGCTAATAAACTAAGAATATGTCATCTAACATGCTCTTAAAATTATGGTTGAAATCAAAGCACATTTTCAGCAAGTAACAAAACCTGCCAATCTGGACATTCTTCCGTGCAAACATTCAGAGAAAAAAAAAAAAACCTGAAGTGTCGTTCAAAATGGTAACTCAATTTAGGTTTTTTTTATAGCTTCCAAAGTTTTTTTTATCAATAATACATCAAAAAAATAATTATTAATAATAATAGTTTCCCGTGATACTGAGAATTAAAATGTTACATTGCAATCTGATTGCTTCCAACTTCTTGAACTACCTTTGAAGAATAAACCTAATGTTGACGATTTTAACAGTAACACTGTTAACTGAAGTAAAACAAACGGTCATAGATGTTATCCAAAATATGGTCTAAGTATACCAAATACTATAGTATTATTTATTTAAATATTATCTGTAAATATAAAATAATATAATGCTTATATATATAAATATTATAAAATAATAATCTATATATATAATTACTTATAATATATAGTTTAATAAAATAAAATAAAAAATTATAAATAAAGGAACCTGATTAAAAGTCGAGGCTAGAATTTGATTCTATGTCCTTAAGACAGATTCGCCCCGTTATGGTGCTTACGGACTCAGTGGCATCTATCTTCCAGGATACAACGACTTGTCTTCCTTCGGTAGCAGCACTGCAAACCAAAGGAATAGGCGAACCCACTCGGTGTAATACTCTCTGACTCGAACTCGGACTCGGAGTGACTGACTAAGGCTCGAACCCAAATACTAAGGCTCAAACCCACAGACTAAAGGGAGAAGGAAGAAGAAGAAAATTCAGAAGAAGTGAAGAATTCTCTAAATTTGGTGTGATTTGCAAATGATCCAAAGGGGGGTATTTATAGATAGTAAGGTGCCTTTTCGGGTGGGTGCAACCATGGGTTATGATGGTTCGGAAAAAGGTGTAACCCTTTGAAAAAACTAAAAAGTGATTTTTTTAATTTAAAAGGTGTAACCCTTTAGAAAAACTAAACTTGTTTAAACTTCAATTGGTTTCAACATTTTTTCCATTTAGGCTTTTCAAACACCTCACTTTGGATCTAATTTTTCATTCACCCAGAAACGGATTTGAGAAAGTAAATATATCACGTTCATCTCCTTGCGGAGGGTAACGCGCTGGTCTATAGATCCGCAAAAAATTCTTAGTGGAATCTATTCCAAATTTCATCCAAAGTTTTTGTTTTGTATACCCCATTTCCAACAATCCCCCACATGAATGGAAAGTAGCGTCAATTGCAAATAAAAAAGATACAGACACTAGAGAGAGTACTATTAGAAAGTAACTGCATCGGGATAGGTAGTTTTTGGCCTTGAATCTTCCCTAGTGTATTACTATCGGATTTACTGGCTAACCAGTAAACATGATGTCTTGAACTGTTCAGCCGTTGATGTAAACCAAGATAATAGCAAACACACAATTCCTTCCCGCACAAAGTCGGTTTTTACGGTTGTGTTCATATGGCCCTGAACAACTCCTGGTATTTCATGAGCGCTCTAGAAAACTTAGCCTTAGAAGTTCTCATAGAAGCGGCCCCACTTCACACTCATATAGGTGACTTCTTATTAAGAGTATTCTACTATACCCCACTTGAATTTTCAAGATATAAGAGTCATTAAAAGCATAGCTTATCCTACTCATCGCTGTAAGTAGCACTGTCTCATCATAGAAATGGGTAGAAGATTAATTCTTCCCAGTGCTTCTGGTGAGCCATTCAGAATTTATGTTGTCCCTTTGAACCTAGATCTTGGGATCTCCAGTCAACTAGGTTGGGTTTCCATTAAGATGACTCGTTAGCTCTCGGCTTTAATCCCATTCCCCTCGATGAACTATACACTTGCTCTCTTGTCAAACCATTTGTAAACGGATCCGCTAAATTATCTTTTGACCTGATATAATCTATTGAGATTATCCCACTTGAGAGCAATTGTCTAACGGTATTATGTCGTCGACGTATATGTCGAGACTTACCGTTATACATATTACTTTGTGCCCTTCCAATTGCTGATTGACTATCGCAATGTATACATATAGCGGGCACAGGTTTAGGCCAATTTGGAATATCTTCTAAGAAATTACGAAGCCACTCAGCTTCTTCACCAGCTTTATCTAAAGCAATAAATTCAGATTTCATAGTGGATCTGGCAATACAAGTTTGTTTTGAAAATTTCCAAGATATGGCACCTCCTCCAATAGTAAAGACATAGCCACTTGTGGATTTAGAATCCTTTATATCTGATATCCAATTAGCATCACTGTATCCTTCAAGTACTGCTGGATATCTAGAATAATGTAATTCATAACTTATGGTATATCTTAAATACCTTAGAACCCTGATTATTGGAGTCTAATGGTTCTTTCCTGGGTTACTTGTATATCTACTCAATTTATTAACTGAGTATGCTATGTCTGGTCGTGTGCAATTCATCAAATATATTAAGCTTCCTATAATGCGAGAATACTCAAGTTGTGATATGCCAGGACCCGTATTTTTCAATATATGAAGATTTACATCAACAGGAGTCTTTACAAGACTACTATCTTCCTTATTAAACTTTTCTAATATTTTCTCAATGTAGTGAGATTGAGATAATACTAGACCATCTGATGTTCTAGAAATCTTGATTCCTAGTATGACATCAGCTATACCTAAATCTTTCATATCAAAATTTTTGGTCAACATCTTTTTAGTAGTTTTGACTATAACATTATTACTACCCATTATTAGCATATCATCCACATATAGGCACACAATGACATATCCATTTTGAGTGTTTTTCACATAAACACATTTATCACACTCATTAATTTTAAAACCATTTGACAACATCACTTTGTCAAATTTTTCATGCCATTGTTTAGGTGCTTGTTTCAATCCATATAAGGATTTTACAAGCTTGCACACCTTCTTTTCTTTTCCTGGAACTATAAAACCTTCAGGTTGTTCCATATAGATTTCCTCCTCTAATTCACCATTCAAGAAGGCTGTCTTAACATCCATTTGATGTATTTCTAAATTTTGCAATGCTGCAATAGCTAATAACAATCTAATAGATGTTATTCTTATGACTGGTGAATATGTATCAAAATAATCCAAGCCTTCCTTTTGCCTGTATCCCTTAGCAACAAGTCGGGCTTTATATTTATCAATTGAACCATCAAGCTTCATCTTCCTCTTGAAAATCCACTTATACCCTAAAGGTTTAGTACCAGGAGGAAGATCCACCAGCTCCCAAGTATGATTTTGCATGATGGATTCAATTTCACTATTTATGGCTTCTTTCCATAAAGGAGCTTCAGGAGAAGACATAGCTTCCTTATAACTTTGTGGCTCATTCTCCAATATATATGTCAGAAAATCAGGACCAAATGACTTAGACGTTCTAGCTCTTTTGCTACGCCTAGGTTCTTCCTTATTTTCATCATCTATAGACTCTTGGTCTATATTCTCTTGTATATTGCTATTAGTAATATCATGATTTCTTTTAAGAGGATTTTTACAAGGACATATATCCTCAAAAAAACAAGCATTCCTTGACTCAATAATTGTATTGACATGGATGTCAGGTGTAACACCCCCACATTTTCCACGCATAAGTTGATCAGGCTTATACACGAAAAACGAGGGATATCAAAAACAATTGGCAATATACAAGCATGGAATACAAAATGATGGAAATAAAAGAATTTAGACAGGAAAGAAACATTAAATAATACAACATCCATTCATCCTTTATTTAATACAGTACTTCATTACAACTTGGAAATCCTACGTCAGGGATCCCTAAATATAACCCTGAGAGTTCAACGTCAAAAGTAAATAAAAACTGAAACTGAAATACTACATAAAACTTCTACCCTGCACTGGATCGTAGGAGTAGATGAGTTCGGATGATGGTCCCACACTGCTAACCTCAGCCTTGAAACGGATACTGACCGTATCCTGAAATAACAACAATGGTGGGTCAACCCCACGAGCAAGTCCTCTCTACTATGACCCAAATCAGAGAATCAAATAAATTAATCATTATGAATCGGATGAGTGCTATATCTGTATACATCCTACGGGAACTATCCGATGTATAACATGACCTCAACCAGAATAGACGGTGATCACTTAGACTCACACTAGGTGGTCAAGTGTCGCCTTTCCCTACCCGGGAAATCAGCTATTATACATGGTGTACGGTACTGACAACACAGACTATAACGAACTACACAGTGATAACACCTCGCAAAGTACTGATGAATATACTGAGCATATAAATTAGGCAACACATGCCAACAATATTAATAAATGTACCGAGAATGTCAATTTAGGCAACACATGCCAATAATATTAATAAATATACCGAGTATGTCAATTAGGCAACACATGCCAATAATATTAAACCACATACCCCGACAGCCACACATCTGTCTATCGCAACGAATGCATAAGGTATAAATGAGTCTAAACTTATTAGTCAGCTCACATGGTTCTATATGGCAACACATCCATATAAATGCGACATAATAAACAGTCCATTTATTCCCTGAAATGCACACAGCATAATAATCATGGTTTATATACGA